CTTAGTGGTGAAATTAGATGTAATGTATTGAAAAACAGATATAACGTGTTAAAACGTAAATTTAATGTGACGAAAAGTATACAACACCTCTATTATAAGCGGAATTACAATAAAGAATTTAAGCTCTATAATTCAAGTATCTGATTTATTTCGAGTTGGTTTTGACAAAAAAAAAAAAAAAAGGAAGTTAAAATATATATATATATATATATAATTTGTAGGATTGATTTTTCATAAAATTAGTATTGAATTTTGACCCATTTTTCTTTATTTTGCTGGTCTCCAACTTTAATATTTATTGGAATCCGATTTACAAAAATGGTAACATTTGTATTGAAATAGGGAATAATGAATGTCTGGTAAAAACTATTAATTGAAAAAGAGGTCCTACCGGGAGTCGAACCCAGGTCGCTGGATTCAAAGTCCAGAGTGCTAACCACTACACCATAGAACCGCTTGTTGTTTGTTTAGCTAAAAACTTTTACATAAATTAATACATCTGTAGATTTATGTCCCTAATTTGCACGTTGCGGCGACTTCCCAATTTTTGGAGTGAACGCTTCGTACTAGATTATTTTCCTTATCAGCATTTAATTTCCTTAATAATGCACTTAATTACTTGTCTTAACAAAACACCCCCCTAATTATGGAGTTACTGATTGTATCAGATTGTATCACATTAATTTCTAAGTTGTATTCAAAATCCTAATGTTTCTCGATCCATTTAAATATCTTCCATCCTAATCAATTGAATTTCAGTCTTACACACACATAATCAATTGAATTTCAGTCTTACACACACACACATATATATATATTATATGTATATCTTCAAACCAAAAGAAGTATGGGGTGCCATGCACGGAATCTATTTGTAATTTACTTAGATTTAGGTGAATTTCCACGTCTTCAGATGTTTAGCTGCCACCCACATTAGCACATTCCAATGTTGTTTTTTCTTTTCCTTAATTGTTATATATACACACATATATATATATATATATATATATATATATATAAAATGCAACACCATATAAATGCATAAATTCAACAAATTCATCGCACCATTATCATCTTCGCTCTAAATTTTTTTTTAATATCTCGAGATAACCATGATGTAACATTTAATAAAAAATGACAATTTAAAATGACAATTTATTATCGACGTACTACATTATCTGTATTGGTGATAACCAATATTTCTTCCTTTTCCCCATTCCACCCTTATTAATGCAAGAGGTTCCTCATAAGCAAGCACAAAAAATTATTAACTGGTGATCAATCATACAAAACTCTCCCACTAAAAAAAATAATGCGACCCCATATAAAGGAATCACGTAAACTCGCCAAATTCGTCATTATCATCATCTCCTCTCCAGAAAAATTTCCAACATTCTAGGGTACTTGTGATGTGGCCACCAACTCAATAAAAAAATGGCAATTCACAATTCACTAAGTATTATTATATTATCTCTACTCGAGTATTCAATAGTTACTTTACCTTTTCATTCCAGCTTTAGTAGTGCAATAGGATTCCTAAAAAAACACGATATATTATTAGATGCTCATAAATTAAATTATTCAATATCAAAACTCTCTAATAAAAAAAAAAAATTTGAATCCCAGAAAATTTACAAGAGTTTAATAAGTTATTAAAATAAGGACAAAGTGAGAAAAATACGCAGAATATTTAAATTTTTGGCAAATATCACCCCTAATATATATTTTGGATATATGAGAATTATTAAGTTTGAAAAAATAATCAAAGAATGGTTTGACATCACTGTTTGGTTACAAATTTAGTCATACACATTGCACATGACATTCTTAATATATAAAATTTCAAAAATATCATTTTTCTGCCAACAATACCCTTATACATAAAAAAATAAAAATAAAAAATAAAAAAAAAAGAAGATACACTTTAGTCATTTCACATTTAATTATTATTTTTATCCTTTTTTTTATTTAATTATAGAGGAACACTATAGTCTTTTCGACATTCAGTCCCTTATTTGTTCAAAATTAAATGTTAGAAAGTTTTCAAAATGTATAAAAAGTTATACACTCTATATATATACTATAGAGATGTTTTTCGTTCCGAACTTTTAAAATAAATCTAAACGATTGAAGTGAGCGAGAATCTAATCGTTTCTCATCCGTCAAACTATCTTTCAATTGTCAAAAACCAATGAACATATATATACCAGATGTTTGGTTTTGGAAAAATTTGGGGTCCATTGGCCTCTCCATGATCACTACTTACAACGTGTATAAAAAGTTACACACTTCATATACGTACTATAGAAATGTTTTTCATTCTGAACTCTTAAAATAAATCTAAAAAAAAATTAATTTTGATTGAAGTGAGCGCAAATCTAATCGTTTCTCATCCGTCAAACTATCTTTCAATTGTCAAAAACCAGTGAACATATGTATACCAGATGTTTGGTTTTGGAAAACTTTGGGGTCCATTGGCCTCTCCATGATCACTACTTACAACACATGCCACATTTATTGTGTTTGGTGTTGTATTTATCTTAACCATCAATCATTGGATTGACATACTCAATCATATATATATATATATATATATATATATATATATATATATATATCTGTAAGCTTATCACGAGTACAATAATTTGCAATGACAATGACAATGAAATTGCCACGTTCATTAAAGATCAATCTACGTAGCCATTCTGAATAGTTCTTGCCATGTTCCAATTATTAGATTTTATGTTTGACACTACTAAATCAACGTCTAGAATTTAAAATTAAATAAAATTTAGTTAAAATTTTAAATTAAATTTTCTTTAATTCTAAATGAAAATTGTCAATTCTTCCAAACTCAACAAATTTGAAATTCTAGAAAATAGGATTCACACAGCACAAACTATAATCACATTACATGCAATCTAGATGTTGATATACATGGTAAAAAACCAACACATCATATTGCTAGGTAGATCGAAATAAATGAATCATCTTCAGCGAAATCTCTCTTTTGAACTCCGTAGGCCTTAATGTTACAATTTAGTTTTAGTCACGTTATCAACTTATTAATCTCAATGTTGAAATTTCTGCATGTTACAACTAAATTTGTGAATAGTAAAATTGAATAAGATGATGACATGACTAAAACTGAAATACGAGATTGACTCTTATGAAATTTAAGAGAGATTCCCAATCCGATTGTAATATATACAGAAGAGAGATAAAAGTTATTAGGAGTATTGATTTTTTCATCACTTGAAGAGGACAAAAAATTGTGATTGTTCACATAGTGATTTTTTAGAGTTAAAAGTCACGACTTCTCAAAATTATGGTTAATATTTGGATTAATGGTCACATCCATTCACATATTGCAACAATCATGTACATTCAAATGGTGTGTCTACATGACTCTTTTCGTACACTATAAAGAGTACTTGCTCCAAAAATCATATTACACATTATTTTTTATTTAATTTTTAATACTTTCGACAAATTTTGATGATTTTGTCGTATTCCGAAGATGTTCAGCAAACTCAAATAAAATGAGACAATTAACACATTAAAAAAGCGATCTCACACGTCTCAAAAAAAGGTCACAAATTATTTTCCTTCTATAATCTTGGTTTATTTTCCTTGTACAATGTAATTAACACACATTTATAAGAATGGAAAATTGACGTAACACACATGTTCGAGCACTCGTGGCCTCCCCATTCAAGATTCATCTGTCAAGCCATATGATCTACACCTAGCATTCGCACACACATTATGATGATAACAACAACAAGAACAAAAAAGGAATAACAACATCATTATTGTAAATAGGTCATTCAATTTGTCCTATACTTCCATAACATAACCGCTCAAACCGAGCTTCAAGAAAAAGAAACTCGCACCCATCCAAACCAATATAGGGCTTTTAACACATACCCAATTCAAGAAACCGTGCAGCCTCCACTATCAAACAATTCTAGAGAGAGAAAGAGTGAGAAACAGAGGAGAGAGAGAGAGTAATAATTGACAAATTAAGGGTGACGAGGCATGGGGTGGTGTTTTGCTTCTGAGGGAGAGAAACGGCTAAAAGGGTTTTGTGGGAAGGTCACGTGAACCAGGCTTTGAGCAGAAAAGCTGTGCTTTTGTGAGACTTAACGTGAAATTCTAAAAGGTACTACGTGTCCACGCGCTTTGGTTGAGGCGCGTGAGCGCGTGGTTGAGTCACAAGCCAACATTTTTCTATATTATTGTATGAAATGTCTCAATTTCACCCTAGACCCCAATTTGATCGGAGATTCATTTTAAATTAAAATCCAAGAATATCTGTTTCGGATATGAATTCAATTCGAATATATGAAGTTGTAACATGACAAAAATCAAAGATTTATTTTAAAAAAAATTTTAGGGGTAACAAACTCACAGACCAATTTGTTGTAAATGTTTGTATCTATTTGATAAGAATTGAATTCAAATATATGTGGTTATAATATGACGAAGACCACCAAAGGTTTTTTTTTTTTTTTTAATTTGCCGACTGTAGCTTTGATCATTCAGAGCTTTAAGAGATAAAGATAATATTACTCAATTAATTAACAAGCATAGCAGTACTAGGCTCCTATTTTCCTTTTAAAAGTTCGAATCTCGATTAAGGTATGTGTGTGAATACCAATTAAGGAAAAAGAAAAGAAAAGAAAAAAAAAAGATAAAACTTTTTGAGTATGTTAAAATTTGTTTGATCGAATTACTCATTAGGAGAGGTTATATTAATAAAATCTCATTATGTTCAAATTTTTTTATTATTTTTTTGACATTTAAACTTGGTTGAAGATTGTGGTTTTAGGGATTTTGGAAATGTACGCGACTAGAAGAGCACGTGAGGGTAAGACTTGGTGGCTAGTTTGGTGAATGATTTTATCGTACGCCACCTACTAAGCCCCCACTTGTCATGCAACAAGGATGAGTTCAATGCGCATACTCTCTCCTTCACCACCTATATAAATGTTCATCAATTCAACCCCATTTCTATACCTTCACCAATATCTGCATGAGATTGTGGGCACTGGTTTGAAGGTAGAGAGCTAGCTATGTTTAGAGAGCTGAGGTTTCATTAGATACCCTGCTTTTCCAATCTAGAGAGATAGAGAGAGTTCTGAGTTTCTTGATCATTGAAGAAATGGCTGTCTTTGACCTCCACCATCCACTAGTGTTCACATTTGGAATCCTGGGTATATATTTATTGAGAATTCTCATGCACCCACTACATATCATCTTCTAGAACTTCAAATTCATGACTCTGGTTTTGTTGGTTTTGTTTATTTATTTTTATTTCTTACAAAATGCTTAGTTTGATTTTAGATTGTTTTTCCAAGTCTCATGCTTTGTTTTTAGTTGTTTGTTCCAACTTTAGTCAGTTTTTTGTTTGTAGTGCTTCTTTGGTTTCCAAGTTGGTTTATCTATTTTTTTCTTTTTTAGGTGGTTTCTCTAATAAAAATGCTAAATTACAAAAACTTAAAAATAAAAATAATGTGTTTATGATCTTTAATATTATGTTCTTCCTCATCATATTAATAGTCTCATAATATCCTTGCTAGTACAATATGTGATTTATTTATTTATTTTATTTTGTATTTTTGAAATATTCATCATTTACTAATCTAATTGTTAGTCTAAGTAGATTAGATGTCCTATATATGTATTTTGTACGTATCTATTGTTAATTAGCTTATAGTTTAATATTGGGTTTAAAGAAAGTAACACGCTTCAATCATTTCAATTTAAACTAAATTTCATGTTTTATATACATATCAGTATAACATATGCAGAGACGTTTGGTGTGATCAACCATCCACAATGTTGTTGGACTAGTAATTTCATGCCCTATTAGTGAAAAAGAACAAAAATTCTAATTAAGGACAACTTGTTATAGCTAGCTTGTTCAACTGTATTATTGCTATTAAGAAATTGATGTCTTTAGGTATGTTTTTTCGTTTTTTTTTCTTTTAATGAGAATATATCTGAATATCTTCTGAAGTTTATCATTCCGAAAATACTAACTAGTTATTTTATTTTGCATTTGATATTTTAGGTAACATTGTCTCCCTCTTTGTATACTTTGCTCCATTGTAAGTAAATATTTACCCATTTTTATTTATTTTCTTCCTAGAGAATGTTATGCTTTATTTTTATAATTAGTAACCATAACATGTGGAAGTGATTTTTTTTTTTTAATTGCAGGCCAACATTTATTCAGATTTGCAGAAAAAAATCAACCTTAGGGTTTCAATCGCTACCTTACGTCATGGCACTATTCAGTTCCGCACTGTGGCTGTACTATGCATTCCTTAAAACAAACGTCATCCTCCTCATCTCCATCAACTTGTTTGGATGCATCATAGAGACAATTTACATCGCCATTTACCTTGTCTATGGATCGAGGGAGGCTAGGGTACTTAACTATATATATATATATATATTTTTTTTTAAATCAAGCACTTCTATATTCTAATCATGAATTTGGTACTGCAGAATCACACTTTCAAGCTTCTTGCTTTGTTGAATGTGGGCTTGTTCTCTATCCTTTTCGTCACACTCTTTTTAATTAAAAGCACCAATCGTGTAGAAGTTGTGGGCTGGGCTTGTGTTGTTATCTCTGTGAGTGTTTTTGCAGCACCTCTAAGCATTATGGTGAGGACCTACATATATATATATATATATATATGGAACATAGAGTTATATATGTTGCTCTTACAATATTCTTCTTAATTTCTAACTCTAATTTGTGATTTTTCTATTTCAGTTTCAGGTCATTCGAACTAGGAGTGTCGAGTACATGCCATTTACCCTATCATTCTTCCTTACATTGTCTGCAGTCGTGTGGTTCGCATACGGTCTACTGCAGAAGGATTTGTGTGTTGCTGTGAGTGATCTTCACAATCTTGTAATTTTTTTTTCCGGCCACTAATTTGATGTTAATTAAAGCCTCTAATTATTTTTATTTATTTATTCTTCGTTTTGTAGCTTCCAAATGTATTCGGTTTCGTTTTGGGACTGCTTCAGATGTTGTTGTATGGAATCTATAGAAACGCCAAGGAAGTGGTGGTGATAGAGAAGAAGCTGCAGCCGGAGCACATAATTAACATTGTCGTGTTGGGGACTTCGGAAGTGCATCCGGTGGATGCTCAAGCTAAAGAGAAGCGGGACAATGGGGGCGAAGAAGGCGAAAAGAAGAATGAACAAACGGATCATCATGAGAAAAGTGTGGCTTCTGCTCCTGCTCATGAACTCAGTCCTATTGAATGTACAGTTTGATTCACCAATACTTCGCTGTCTGCACAGCTTGGTACAGCTTGCTTTGCGCTTGTCATTGCGTCCATACATACTCTCTGTCTCTAGATCTCTCTCTGTGTCTCTCTCTCCCTGTCGATCTACATTTGTAATGGAATTTATGAACTTATGAAAAAAAATTAATGTTTATAAGACTTATTAATGTGGTGTTTAGTCCACCTAAAAAATTGACGTGGAGTGCTGATTTCCACGGGTCTATCCAACGGCTGTGATAGCTCCAAGTCAGGACACATGCTTCCCTATTGTCCCGGTGTCACTTTTGTTTCTAAAAGTTTGAAAATACCAGACTAGAAGACCTTTTCGCACCACTCTCTATTCCTCCTCAGGGTGAAAGGTCACAGCGACATGATTAATGGTGATAATGGATCGTGATAGATCTCACTTGATAATGATAGATTCATTTTATAATATCAATCACCGCCATTCATTCGCACGAACCTAATCAGTGTAGAATAATAGGAAATGATGCAGACATGAGTGGAATCCGATAAAAAGTTTTTGTCGTTGTCCTTGTAATGGGTTCGACATAGTCCTTGTACGTACAGCGTTGTAAGGCTCATTTGTAGGAAAGCCAAAGACTAAGAATCCAACATAGATATACAACTAATAAAAAAAAACGGAAAATTATATATAAATGGAGTCAAAGTTTCATATTTACTTAGAGGCTGAGTCAAGTTTCATATTTCTCTAAAATGGATTACTGAGGTGGCACATGGTTTTTTACTGTTTAGAAATTGTGGTGCCTAAAATACCCTTCCGCGAAGGTACTACTTTTTCTTCGAAGGTACTACTTTTTTGAACTGAAGGTACTACTTTTTGGTGTCCAGGTACCATGTTTTTTAAACACCGGTACTACTTTTTCTTCGAAGGTATTACTTTTTTGAACTGAAGGTACTACTTTTTTGTTAGGGAAGGGCATTTTAGGCACCACAATTTTCTAAACAGTAAAAAACCATGTGCCACCTCAGCAATCTATTTTAGAGAAATATGAAACTTTGACTCAGTTTCTAAGTAAATATGAAACTTTAACTCCATTTATATGTAATTTTCCCAAAAAAAAAACCATACACATATTGTATTTCCATCACTCCATAATAAAAATTTTAATTTATAAAATCCACTAATATCACTTCACCTGTGTCGAATCTCTCTACACAATTAATCAGTGTCCCAAAAAAGAATAATATTTTTTATTTTTAGTTACTCAATTAACAACTTGTGTTGAACTTGTGGACAGAGAAAATGAAAGGATATATATATATAACATATGGTTAATTTACTTATCTTTGTTTCTTTCTGATCTTCAATGTAAATGTATCAAGTGTCTCACACCTTTATTAACATGATCTTGAAAATATCAGACACGGAAAACCATGATTTTTTTTGCTCAGGTGGATCTGTAGAATTTTACAAAAAATATCACTCTACCTTATATTAGAGTTAAGAAAAGAGTTAAGTGCAGAAAAACTTCTAAAGTATGTTTACAGTGCATATCACATTCCTCATATCTAAAAAGTTAAAGGTATATTTGCACAATGTAAAAAGATTAGGGGTATTTTTTACACACTTTTTTAAATTGGGGATAAAAGTGCTACGTAGAGTATACTTTGGAGGTATTTTCCGCACTTGCCCCCTTAAAAAAACATCTCCTAGTAACGTGGATATAAGAAACTTGAATCCATCTATACTTGGATTTAGTTCGAACATGCAATTTGAACTTGGAAAAATCATACATAGAAGAATGAATGGGGTAAAGTTCTCTAGTTTTCTCTTCTCCAATCTTGATTTTTCAAAACTTTGTTTTAAGGTTCAATTTTTATTTTTTTCTTCTTTTTAATTTGAAAGGTAAAGTTAATTCTATAGATATTGTATAAGATCTATACAGCCCAATTAAGGGAATGTTTCCAAGGCCCAATAGGCACAGTCCATTATCACTACAATACAAGCCCGAAAGCAACCCAGCCCATAATGGAAGACTACCCACTACTGAGTAGTCTAAGTTACAGCAGACATAATTTACATTAAAAAAAAAACAGGCAACACTGGAAGCATGAGCCCTTGTCCTGCTCATCAATCAATCAGGTGGCCGTGTAGGTTTAAGGTAAGTCCCATTCAGTGGCGATGCATCTTGCCATAGCTTCAATTGGATAGAGTCGATGATTTAATTTAGTATCACCATGAGAGGGATTTCCCTTGATAGAGCCGGCGATTCCTTTTGTATCTAAACATCGTAAACAACGGCTGCCAGAGAAAGCCTGCAGATGGATGCTTTGTGGCTTACGGGGCCACCTTTCATGTGATCAGTTGAACTAGAAATGAGTTGTACCCATGAGGAGGGCAACATGTGGAAGCCTCCACGTGTTTGAAGAAATAGCCAGGTGGGAGTGCTGAAGGTGCACTTGAAGAAAATGTGGTAATGTGATTCAGTAACAGTTTTGCAAAGAGGACAGAGATTTGATTGTATCCTTTGTCTCATGAGTCTCCAATTTAGAGTGGGAAGTCTGCGGTAGATCGATGGCCAGCCACAAAACAAAATTATGCTTTGGCAATAGAGGGTTTTGTCCAAATGATGCAGTGCCATGGCACTGTAGGATGGTGAAGATGAATTTCTTTGAGTGTTTGAGAGATATTAGAGAAATCGTGCGGAAGATGAGATCCATTCGTATTTGTCACTTCTGCTTGAACAGGGCGGTGGGAGAAATGATGTGTTGCCAAGTTGTGGTAGGATTCTAAGCAATTCAGGGGGAAAAGCTCATGAGGAGTTCGAGATGAATGAACTGAGAGGAGTCATGCTGTTAAATGCAGAGGCATTAAAGTTAGACGTAGAAACAGGGCAGTGTAGAGGGCCATGGGATAACCAGCTCTCAAACCATAAATTAATCCTCTGGTTTCATTTCCAATTTCGAGCTTGATAAGAGGTTTGATGGCCGACCTCAACTACAGTAGCTTCCTCCAACTCCAGGAGCACTGGCTTAGAATTTGTACCTCCCAAATGCTTCCACCTTTAAGTGCGTTGGTGTTGACCCATTGTGTCAACAACATATCCTTCAAGATTAGGATGTGCTAGTAGTGTTTCAGGACTGCACATTTATTCCAAATGTGTAGATTTGGAATGCCTAGACCACCTGCAGATTTGATAAGGCAAATTTGGTTACCATGCTACCTTAGCATACTTCAGCTCCAACTCAGGTCTTGACCATAAGAAAGCTCTAAAGATGGAGGTGAGCTCAATTAAAGTACTCTTTAAAAGGATAAAATTCGAGCTGTAATACATTTGAGTACTGAAAAGGATGGCATTGACTAGCTGTAGTGTGCCAGCAAATGAGAGTGACTTGCTTGTTCGGTGCCTGATTCTCCCTGTAATCTTGCTTGTGAGCGGTCTACAATCAGCGCACAGCTATCAGTCAAATAGAAATTAGGGGAACTCCCAAGTATCTCATGGGAAGAGAGCTTTTTTCAAAATCAACCAGTGATAATATAAAAGCCTCAACTGATTCACTAACCCAAGAGAGGAAAATATAGTTTTTCCTGCTGTTGAGTTGGAGACCAGAGAGTGAAGAGAATTTTCCAATGGCATTCATTAGGATTTGGACTGAGGAGAGGCTTCCATGGCTGAATAACATGATGTCATTAGCAAATATGAGACATAAGGGAAAAATGTTTACATCTCCTATAGTATTTGAAGGAGGGATCAGCTGCAGTGTAATGATTTAGGATTGATGAGCAAACATGCATGACAATAACAAAGAGAAAGGGGAAGAGCAGGTCACCTTGTCTTAATCCTTTAACCCCATTAAAATACCCATGAAATTCTCTATTAATGGAAATGGTATAGGAAGGGGAAGTGATGCATGATGAGATCGACTAAATAAATGCCAAGGGAAAGCCTAAAAGATGGAGAGTATCAACCAGTAATGGCCTTGAGATAGTCAAAAGCCTTCCTCAGATCCAATTTCATGGTGCATCTTGGTGAAAAGGTATGGTTGTGATACCATTAACTAACTCATGGGTGATGTGTGGCGTGTGTAGTCCGTGGTTTAGCTCAATTTTAATATTTGTAGGACCACTACTTCTGCAATAGAATGGGTCGTATAGCATTGTAGGGTATCGTTCTTAATTTTGGAAAAGTACTTTCAATAAATACAACCAAACTATTTTATGATTTTTTGTTCTACGGAAACTATTTTGTAATTTTCTCAACCAAGCACTTTCTATTATGATTCTCTGAAAACTATTCTTAAAAATTATTTTCATAATTGCAATCCAAGTGAGGCCTTAGATTTCTGCGTGAAAATATGCTCCATAGTATCCCCAAGGGATATGCAGATAGAGAGCATGTACTTTTCTTCCAATCTATTGATCATCCGGAGCACAATCAGGGGCACGCTGGCATGCAAACAACTTATCTTTGGCAACATGGAGCTGTTGGAACGTGTTTTAAAATATATGGTTGTATTTATGAAGGATTTCATAATATTCTTAAAATATATTAGTTTCCTTCTTTATTACACAAACAAGAAGTTGTCTAATTGGTAGATGGAGAATAAAAGCTTTCATTCTGCACAAGAGCTCTTGGGTTCGAGTCACACATGCCCGAGGAGGTTGGAATTTTCACTCTCAATCATGATTGATCATCTCCCTTAATCGGTTACATGATCAAGCGACCGTAGCCATCCGATCTCTATTGGATTTTGCTTAAGAGTTGCATGATCAAGCAATCTGGACCGTCCACATGGGATAGTGGCAGATGGCCATCCAACGTATGATTAGTAAAACGACCTTTGGGATTCTAAATTAAGTATAACATTTAGTGCAACAAAAAATTGGAGCACTCTGTCTTTTTTTTGGTTTTTCCCATTTTTCATTTTTTTGACATTTTCGGGTCTTGAGTCAAGTGGGGTCAGGCCGGGTCAAGTGTTCGAAAAAAAAAATTTCAACACTTTGCATTTATTATTTTAGGACATATTGAACATATATATTTCATTTGGGGCACATTCGACATCATATTCCATTTTGGGGCAATTCTATAATTATTTTCTAGATGTTTCTTATTTTTTGTGCCCTTTCACAATTTTTGAAGTTGTGTGACCCACCTGTGTTTCCGTTTTTCCCATTTTTCTTTTTTTGATATTTTCGGG